CTGTCCCGAATAGAAGCGCGAAAGAATCGTATGTGTCGAGCCCCCGCTGCCAGTAAGATTAAAGAACGTGGAGAGGATCTACCATAAGGACGACATCCGACGTACTGTGATGTTTGGAGGAATAGACACCCTAGGTGGCCAAGTAAAAGCCAAAGACTGGTATAAAAGACCTTAGCCGTTTAAAGAAGACCGGAATAGAAGCGCGAAAGAATCGTATGTGTCGAGCCCCCGCTGCCGGTAAGATTAAAGAACGTGGAGAGGATCTACCATAAGGACGACATCCGACGTACTGTGATGTTTGTGGCTACAGTACTCTTGATCCACATGCTCCTAAAAATTGTTAAGATGTACGAGTCATCCGTTCAGAGGCGTAGTGACCTATACTTTAAGCAAAGTAGTCTAGCAAAAGAAGTGTGTTAATCGATCCAGTCAAAAGTAAACTTATACATAACCAAAGGAAGATAGCCCGCCTCATACAAAACAATTGGAGAACAAATGAAAATCAAAACATTTGAAGCATTCAAAACGCATTAAAAATCATTTAAATAAACGAAATCGATAGATAAAGTGCCAATCCCGATGAACAATTAAAGAAGACGAGTCTCTCCATTAGCCATTGAAGAAGTCGCATGCCTCTGACATAATATATCTATATATATTGTGTTTAAGTGAATAGGTATACTAAGGAACAATATTTTTATAAATATATATATATTTATATATATATTCAATATCTTTCAAAGCCCAGGATCCAGAGAACAATGAAATAACTTATGCCGGACAACCTTGACAATAGGTGATCGTATTGCACGCCCCTCGACGATTTATTTATCACTCGCGCATTTATCGCAGTACTTTTAAATCTTTTAAGCCGTTTCTATAAATAGGCCTGTTTTTGATGCCGTTTAATTTTGCTACTTTTCTAAAGAATGTCCGCATTGTGGTCATAACTACGCTTACTCCAAAACACAGAACGAAATTATTGCAAACAAGAAAGAAAGCTAAATTCGGCAAACCGAAGTTGTTATACCCTTGTAGGTCGTTCCCGTGGGAGCATGTACAGAGGTTTCCGATTTTAAGAAAACTAAAATCTAATAACAGAAATGTTTAGGTAATGTTCCATTTTAGTTTACTACCGTGTATTTTTACCGAAAACAAAATATAACGATCTTCGAATTATTTTGACATTAATTATCCGATCGTTCCTATGTCAGCTATATGATAAAAATCGGGCGATTCTTTCTATAAATTTTATTCCAAATTCTAAAAGAAGAAGTCAAGTAACAATATTATAATTTTGTAAAATTATATTTATTTTATTTTTTTTTATCATTTGTACTTCCTGCAATAGAAATAAGACTATTCGGAATGTTTCATCTCGAAAACTTTAAAACTGAGAGACTAGTTAACGTACAAACGGACGAAAAGGCTAGATCGACTCATCTAGTGATGCTGATCAAAAGCATATATACTTTATTGAGTCGAAAGCGTTTCCCTTACTGAGTTGAAAAAAGGGTACAAAATGGCCATTCGTACTATAACAAAGAACTGCCTACACATGATCCGAAGAGTCGAGAAGTCATCGCAAAAGATTAAGAATGGGGGTAAATTTGACGGAACACAGTTGCCTTCCGCACTTGTAAACAATACATATATTCGTGAAGTATCATACAATTTTATAGACGGCTACATATAATTTAATTGCTATTGATTCTAATTACAAAAAATCTTTTCAGCGAGCCCTCCGAGCGACGTTAATATTCGTAATTATTCAACATTTTGTTGACGTATTCATCTTTTTCATGTTGAATGCGTACGACTTTGGCGAGAAATCGGAGAATTGTCCATATACATATCTTGAAAAAAAGCTAATACCTTAGCTCCTATGACCGTAGAAAGTAGACGAGTTATAACTTTGATGCATTAATGAAAACTTCTGATATCAAAGAATATCCTGCCCAGTAAGAACATTAAAAACGAGGAAGAAGGCTATACTCGGGTGCCTCGACTATCAGATACCCGTTACTCAGCTAAAGGGAACAAATGGGAAATGATGACACAAGCAGCAGAGAGAGATTGTAAAGCGCGACCTACTCGCGAGATAAATATATGTATATATTTTACAAACTTATTGGGAAACTTTTTTTAGATCATTCGATAGGTATTGACGAGACAATACAGCAAAAACTTTTTTAATTTGAAAAATGTGGGCTCCACAGTTTTGAATGGCTTGTGGGTGTTAGAGTGGTATTGACGAAAACTAAGCAATATAACTCTAACTTTTTTTAGCACTTAAACTGTAGGAGCCACAGTTGTTGATGTTGGTTCCTTCAAAAACCATTTTTTGGGTGCCAACATGTAAAGTTTTCTAGGGGTCTAAAACACTTATTTATAAGTTCATACTTAAATGGCAGGAAAATAAATTGTCCTAACATTAAGATTTCCACCCTATGTATATATAGGAATGTAGGTCAGTGTCTTGATATCGTACAATTTTAATGTAATTTTGGTCTTACTCATACCTTCATATTATCCATAAGCTCGTCCTGACTCGATGCATTTTTTAGTTTGTTTAAATCATCCTCAACAATATGGAGCGATTTCAGAAGCAAATGAACATCTACCATGTCAGCTAAAATTAATAAACGGGTAACAGCTGACAACAGATTTCTAGCTGCCCGCACCATATTGCCTCTCTTCAGCGAGCTGCATGGATCTTCAGAAAATTCTCTAGCTGCAATGCTCATAGCATCTCCCGTTTTTTTTACTTCATCCACAGCGGTTAACATTTCTTGTGTGATATCTGGGTTCTCATACGCAATCTGTTCACCTTTTTGAATAAAATTTTCGGTTGCCTTTTCAACAGCTGCAACTAATGCACTGGCACGCTTCGATTTTCCTATAAAGAAAAAATTAAAACATTAAGAACATTTTATATGAAATATGTCCAACAGAGTTGGTATTTTTTGGAAAGATCATTGGTTTGGTTTTTCCTATGTGTCTAACTTTGGTGAATTAGTTGTCGAAATTTGAGCAATGATGGACTATTTATATGCTGTTAAAATTTGTCATTTAAATTATCCTTTTAAAAATATCGCCCCTTTGAAAAAAATGTGGTTAGCGGTCAACATCATAGGGCAATAGTAGGTCATTCAAAAATTACAAATCCTTACTGCGTTTAGAAGGTAATAGAATTCCTCTGGTAACCAGGAGAATAATAATATAAAGAAAGGGTGTTTTTTATAGAGGTATAGAACTTTAAATTTCAATAAAACAACGATGGATTATTCGATTGACATGAATTTTTTATTCGAAAGATAATCTTGTGGCATTACATTTTAAATATGATTTCTGACATATGACCGCCACGGCTGGCTCGGATGTAGTCCAATCTGGACGTCCAATTTTCCATGACTTTTTTCAACACTTGTGGCCGTATATCGGCAATAACAGGGCGAATGTTGTCTTCCAAATGGTCAAGCGTTTGTGGCTTATCCGAATAGACCAATGACTTTACATAGCCCCACAGAAAGTAGGCTAGCGGTGTTAAATCACAAGATCTTGGAGGCCAATTCACAGGTCCAAAACGTGAAAATAGACTGTCACCAAACGTGTCTTCCAATAAATCGATTGTGGCACAAGCTGTGTGACATGTTCCGCCGTCTTGTTGGAAGTACAGCTCCTGGAAATCATGGCTGTTCAATTCAGAAATTAAAAAGTTAGTAATCATGGCTCTATACCGATCACCATTGACTGTAACGTTCTGGCCATCATCGTTTTTGAAGAAGTACGGACCAACGAATCCACCAGCCCATAAAGCGCACCAAACAGTCAGTTTTTCTGGATGTATTTTGACATACACTTAAGGGTTAGCTTCACTGCAAATGCGGCAGTTTTGTTTGTTGACGTAGCCATTCAACCAGAAGGTCGCTTCATCGCTAAACAAAATTCGCTTATGAAAATCGGGAACAATGGAAATCTCGTTTTGGGTCCATTCGACGAATCTACGCCTTGCTTGATGATTAATTCTTGCACGTGTTGGATTTTGTAAGCACGCAAACCAAGATCCTTCGACAAATTCTTCCATAAAGTGGATGGACCCAGATTCAATTCCTGTGATTGATGGTGGATGGACTCATTCGGGTCTTCCTCAATGCTAAGCTATACAGTAGCAATAGCTTCTTCTGCACGCACAGTACGGCGCCTCGAGGCTTCAAGTTATCAATAAGAGTAAACGCGGTGCGAAATCGTTCCGTGGTTAAGCGAATTAACTGTTCTGATGGACGATTTTGTCGACGATAAAATGGACGTAGTGCGCGATACGTATTCCGCACAGAACCATTATTTTCGAAATAAAACTGCACTATTTGCAAGCGTTGTTCAGGCGTGAGTTTACTCATGATGAATTGCCAAACCAAACTGAGAATAAATCACTTGACAGGTGTTAAATCGGTCGCCATCTTGAACAGTAATGCCAACTTAAAGTTCTATACCTCTAAAAAAAACAACCTTTTTATATTTTTAAAATTTTTTTCATTTTTGCCGCACTGGCTGCCAAAAAAAAATCGTATTGTTTCTTAAAAACCAAGAAAGAAGGGTATAGTCGAGTGACTTCTGGAGGCAGAGTCGAACGGCAGTTTTCCCTCTCGCGCAGCCCTCTGCTCTCCCTCTCTATCTCTACCCTAAGTCTCCGCTCTGGAGCGCTTAAGCTAAGCTAGGTTTAAGTAGTTATATTTTCAAAGTGTTCACGCACGTCGCGTAAAAATTCAAAAGTACCCCCGTGATTCGATCTTGGGACGTCATCTACTTCAGTGATCAAGCCACCCCGCCCCAACAGTGAGAGTCCTTAAAATCGCCATAAAAGGCTCTGAACGGTAAAAACTGCCTCCAGTCACCATATTTTAATGTTACTGTAAATCGGCCCTGATCCTGCAAATGACAAATTATTTTTCGCAGACATAGGCGTACTTACTTTTTACTTTTAAACATAATATACATTTTACACATAACATTAGTTTTAGTTTAAGGTACCACACGATTTTATGATATTGATCTACCGTTTAGGAATAGACCCATAGCGGATTTTGCACATAAAAGCAACAAAAATCACACAAGTATGTCAAGTTTTTTGGATTTTAAATTTTATACAAGAAAACAAGCGTTTGTCAACGGTCTAGACTATCCGACACCCACTGCTCAGCTAACAAAAAAGCGCCACCTATCGGCTTTTTACGAGATTTTACTCTCCCGCCGCATGCACATAAAAAAGTACATACAAATGTGTTAGTCCTTTGTGTAATTACCCTCCAGTTCAGCACTGGCACAAAATCAACGGATGCAGAATCGAACGAAACAGCGGCAAATCGCCTTTTTAGTGCTGCACTCACATCTCTGCGTACAGTGAAAATTATTTTCATTTGACAATTAAAATCTTGGGGTAGGAGTGATATACAAAAGTATTATTATTTGTGTGGATAGTCCCAGCAATTACCTTCATATTCTATAATTTAAAATAACTTTATCTTTTTTGGTACTCTTACAATTCTTGTTTCTCCAAAAACTTGTAAAATAATGTTTAAAAGTTTGCATACAGCTTGATATAGTATGGGCTGTATGTTTAGGGTACTTTTCTTGTTGGACATAAAATTCGTTCTGTAACCATTTCATTTCATTTATTTATTTATATACTACCGCTACAAGTAAGGACTATATTTATTGATTTAGTCACATCGGGTTCAGTAAAGAATTTTTAAATAAAATAAATAGTTTAAATGTACTACTTAAAAATTAACAAAGTTGTGTTTACAGTTTGAGTATATGTTTAAGTCCCAGCAGATTTCCAACGCCGTTAGAAGCCATACACCCCCATAACATAAGTTTTGTTTTTTGAGGGCTTCTCTGCTCTTTTGGACTTCCAGAACTCTGGAGGTTTGGAAACATGGCCCATTGGCAATTAGACCCTTTTCTCTAGATTAATCTTTGAAATATAAGTCTTCTTTCTAGCCACGCAGCTCATGTATCCAGATTTTTTTATAATCCTTCGGATAGTAGAATATGAAACGGTTTTATAAAAGATACTTTTCACCTCTTGCTGCAGTTCCCGGGTGGTCAGTTACTGATTGTTTTGCACCATAAATATTACTTTCTTGTTTCCCCTTTTGTTAATCGGCATGGGCGGCCTTCTCGGAGCGTGGGAAGTATAGATCTGGTGGAAATATACAATTTAATGACTCTCTGCACTGAGGAGTGTGCGCGACCTTTGATTCCGCAAAATTTCTCAATAGCTTTTTCCATCCAAATGCAATTTTACACAATCTTCCTTTCGGAGTCTTGTAATTGCCTACCTTTAGCTGGATAATTAAATCACTAAATTGGCAATAGATGCAACTATCTCCAGCTGTACGCAAACTTTTAAAAACATGTTATTTTAAAATGTTTTGGAAGCACGAATAATAAGAGTACCAAAGAGGTTAAAATTGTTTTAAACAATTGAATATGAAGGCAATTGCTGGGACTATCCACACAAAAAATTTTATTTTTTTTATATCACACATATCCCAAGATATGACGTTGAGTGTATGTGTTATTCGTATACAATAATGAGTGTATACAAATTGCACAAAACTAAACAAAATTTATTTCAAAACTGGTTATTCCATTATTGTTAGAGTAGTATTACCTTTCTTCTTCTTGCTCGGCCCTTTGGTATTTACAAGAGTTGTAACTTGTAGTACTAGAGGCTCAAGTGTTTTTTCAACTGACATTGTACGAATTTCCAAATTTTTCGGATCCCATTTCAGAGCAATCTGTCCAAAATCGGTCAGCGTTCCCATCTTATTCGAAAATAAAACAAACACCACTTATTTCCAGAGATATATTTCGTTAATCCGTTCACGATAAAGCGACGACGCCTTTTTCGATTGACGATGGGACTACAACTCTTGTTAAGAGGTTTGGAATGACAGGAAAGCAGCAAGCAAATGTTTTTATATACCCTTATCCCACTATCTGCAATCGAGCAGTGCCGGGACACCATTTTTTAGGGGGATTCAAGCTTGGTGGAACTGCTGTAAAATAAATTTGTTACCTCCTGTTGCATAAAATATTGGGAGGCAATATTTTTAAACCTACCTGAACTTTTTACACACAATTATTATGATGACAAGTCTGCTTACATATTGACTGCCGTTAACTGCTGGTGTACTTAACCTTCAGAACTCACCTCATCTGATAAATATTAAAACGCTGAAATTGTTAGAAATGATAAGTCGCTGTAGCAAAGACGTGTCAGCTGCGTGCGTCACGGGTGACACTCCATGTAAACATTTATATGGGATGTCCGCTTATTTACTCGTGACAGCTTATATGAAAATTGTTCAAAATCAGTTGTGATTTCACGCATGTCTTATACGTGTCTTACATATGGGCGGTCACCTATTGAAAAGTCCTTGGTTACTGATAGATAGAAATGGTTAAAAACAGGTTAAAGAAATAAGATTTTATATTTGTGGTCTTTTTAACTTATTTATATTAATTGTATTGGGATCGCCTTGCGAAAACATTTGTCAGAGTCGATTAATAACACTAAAAATATATATGAGTTTTAAATTAGTTTTATTTATATATTACTTTTGTTTCACAAGAAAAAATTTGAGATTTCATGATCTTACTGTCAAGCAGCTCGGTTTGTTGACAAACGGAAAACAAATCAACTGGAACAATTTAAAATAGAAGACTCTGATGGTACACATAGAAATTAAATTAAAAATAAATAATATGTTCAACGAATGTTTTATTTATGTACATAAATCTTTTTTCTCGTCCCACGGATGTCGCCATTCTGCAGTCCAGCTGCAATATTTTCTCCTCCTTACCTATAGAAGCTGGAGCATCCTCCATCTCACAGTGGTTGCGCCCATAGGACAAAATTAAAAAAATCATAACAACAAAAATTTGCGAAAAGTAACAAACCGCCTCTAAAATGACCAAACTTCTTCATAGCAAACAGGGTTTTTCTAGATATCTAACGGGACTTTCTAAAAATATAATTGAAGCTGTGAACACGTGTTCTTTTGCAAAGCGCAGCTGCACGCATCGCAAATATTTCACAACAAAAGCGAGCTTCAAAGTGTTCAGTCAACTAATTACGCTGCCCAATTTAAATTATATAAAATGGATTTTGAAGTTAAAGGTATTATTTTTAAGTTTCAATATAAATAAAAGCCAACTTGTGTTGGCGTTATTTTGAAATTAATTCTTTACTTTATTATATTTTTAGTATCTTTTGTATTCGAGTTTTTTATACTTAATAAAAGTTTTAACTGTGATCCCCCAAGATGCCCCGATTCATTTTTTATTCAGTGTATTTGTCAATATCTTAAGGTATAAAAAAACTTAAAGCTAGCTGCAGATATTTGCAGATTTGTGCATAATCAACCATATACTAACATCGTCTTTTTTTTTCTTCAAGGTGAAAGCAGCTGTTTTGCATTTTGCTGTGTCTTTATGTTCGTCCTTAGTGTTTTATGTTTTTTTAGGTTCAAATTTTAATTTTTATAGCGATATTTCTTTATTCCCTTGAACATATTCAATTATTGGTGTACAGTAATCGGCACCAATGCAGAAAAATTACGGAAGGCCACATTAGGCTACAAAACCAATGCGGCAAAATTTGGAGAATATGCACTTGATACTGATTAGCTTGTATCCATGGTACCATCTTCCACCATCCAAACACAAAATTTTAGTTCATGCCCCAGATGTCATAAATTATGTACTTGTGCCGATTGGAGAATTATCAGAAGAAGCTGCAGAGTCAAACGATAAGGACATCAAAATTTTTAGATGACAGCACTCCAGGAAGACTTCTAAAATTGACACAAACACAGATTTGATGCACAGATTACTTCTGAGCTCAGATCCTTATGTTCCTGGCCAAAGAAAGCTCCCACATTTAAAAATGTCAGTTTTATCAGCATCAGCATTTTAACTACACGATGACTTAAATTATCATTTATTTTTTAAAATTTTGTTTTCTTTTGCTATAATTTGTATTTTCGTTTATTATTATTGTTATGTTTTTTTCATGTCATTTAAACATTATAATCCAAACTAACGGATTAATATTGGTGGGCGGATAATAAAACACGCCTCTTTCTCTTAAAATATTATTTAAATGTATTAATACTTAAATAAAAAGGTTTGAAACTGAAAATAGCAACGCGTTTGAAATTTGGTCCGATATTTTGTATGGTAGGATATAGTCAGGCGAGATGTCCAATTTTTTTTTACTATAATTAAAATATTTATATCGAAATGTGGGGAAAATTTCGAAACGATATAACAACTAAAAGTATTTTTGGCCTCGGCATCCACACAGGTTCAACCACTGTGCATCTCCGCCTTAGCTGCCAAGTAGCTGGTGGAGGTGGAGTCCGCAATGGAGATCTCCTTCCCACTGGAATTCTCTGGTGGATCTCCTCCAGCACTTCAACTATTCTGCGGATTTGCCCCGTTGTGGTATTGCTTCCTGTCGGTCAAGTCACACAATAATGAGCAACAGCTTGGATTTGGCGTCCTTATTTTTTGGTGATTTTCTTCCATTTTAAATTTTCAAATTCCCCACCGCTTTTGCACGATCACCGCCAAAGATAAATTTTCTTATTCTTTGGTCAGCGGCTAACGGCGTTTATCGAAATTCACTCGCCAAATTTGGTATATTTTCTGGTATTTCCTTAGCTCATCTGAGTACCGCGCTGGAAAACAGACCCGACGAAAAGCGTTAGCCGCGTATTTGCCTCTCCCTCTCTCCTATGGTTAGCTCGCGGTTTTCTTTGATGTGAGTACTAGGCTTGAATAAAGTATCAATTACCTGACTTAAACGTATAAACGCACTTGAAAACTGAAAATTGCCGATTCACCGATTTAAATCGCTTGTTTTCCGTCGATTAACGCCGAAAGGGAAGTCAAGCCTTTTTCCTCACTCCTTTACGCGTTTTTTGTTTTGTTTTGCTTTTCTAAGCAAAAAGAGAGAATAATGGAAACACCAAATTGCGATTCTGCGAGAGCCTATTAAAGGCATAGAACACTAGGTTATCAAACAAAGGAAGAGAGGAAAATCTACGAATACCTTTTTATCTTTCTTGCCCAACCGTTTTCGTCGGCAGTCTTCTACGCTGCGCCGAATTCTCTGCTGACGTCGACAGCGGCAGTGTGTTTCTTCCGACTTGTCACCCGGAGACTGCTCCAGAACTGAAGGGTACTTACATTGTAGTTCATGTCCCAGTATCCAGTGAATCACTTTCTGGATCAAACGGGCCATAAACAACCTCGACCAATTAAGCAATATGTATTGTAAAGGTTTAATTTCAATAATACTTTCTACAAAATGTTTGAATTAACTCTTAATAGAATGGTTCAGGGTATGCATATTGGCACAACTTCTGGGAGGGTGCAGTAAACAAAATTTCACAAATGCATTCTTTAAGCATTAGTAGACCTCAGACTTGCCCCATATCTTTCTAGATCGTTATATCTGGTTTTCTGCATTTTAGTTTTTTCTATCGTTGTTGCAATTTTAGACGGAACAGCAGATCGGTAAAACAGCCTTTGCACAAAGCAAAGAAAGTTAAGTAGGGACTATTGTGGGCCAACAGTAACGCCACCCCAATTTTCACAAGTTAGAACCGACTGAACTGGACTGCAGATGGCACAGATATTATGAAAAAGCTTTAAAATTCTTTAAAACTTCCAGTTTACATATGTAAAAACATCAGTTAAACAGTCGGATTATTTATGTTTTTATTTCTTTGTGAACCGGCAGACTTCGTTGATAAATTGCTGAAACTGATTTGTTTTCCATTTGCCAACCAACCCAACTGCTTGACAGTAAGACCATGCTACATGCATTGGCGGTTAAATTTAAAAAAATATCAGATTTAGAGATAGAAATATCGATGAACGCCGTTAGCCGCGGCCCAAAGAATAAGAAATTCAATCTTTGGCGGTATTCGTGCAGAAGTGGTGGGGAATTTAAAAATGAAAAATGGAAGAAAAACACCAAAAACGGCTAAAGGAGGTCAGTGCAGATGAAAAAGGACGCCTAATCCAAGCTGTTGCCCATTATTCTAGGACTTGACCGACAGGAAGCAATACCACAACGGGGCAAATCCGCAGAATAGTTGAAGTGCTGAAGGAGACCCACTAGAAAATCCCAGTGTGAAGGAACATGGCACACCGCACGATCTTCGACCAGCTCTCCATTGAAGACTCTACCTCCAAAAAAAATAAGGTCGCCCGCTTAGGGACAGCTGGAGGAGCCATCACCCGCCATTATTGGCCAGCCTATTGGGACTTGGAGCTGGACTACAGATGGCGCGGGAAAGATGGCGAAGCATACGTGGGACGAGAAGGAAGCCTTAAACTTATAATTTACATTAATACAAATTTTCGTTGAACATTTCATTTATTTTAATTTTGTGCACCAGCAGACTCTTCTTTTTTGAATTGCTCCAATTGATTTGTTTTCCGTTTGGCAACAAGCCCAGCTGGTTGACAGTAAGACCATGCCACATGCATTGCGGTTGAACTTTGAAAACTTCGGTCACACTACAAGGAATAAGATTTTTCGACTAGTGAAACTCTTAGCCGATCTAAGTACTCGGCTTAAACTGAGTAGGCTTAAGTTTAGTACATAGATCGCCTAAAACCCAATTTCCACTACGAGGTATATTTCTGATTTTTCGATAGGCAGCGCGGTGGTGTTCCGATCGGCAAGCGCGTTTGCATAAGCTGTCCTGTGGTATTGTTAAATGCGATCTTAAGTAAACAATTAATTCAAATAATATCCTATGCTATTTTCAATTACAGCGCAGAGCAAAATTTGCCCCTCATGCATGAGCTATAAAAAAGAAATTAAGCTATTATTTAATTCCCATTTATATTTATTGGAAACGTTTGCGAGATGCCAGCGCAGAAAAATTCTTAAGTGTTCTCCAAAAAATCCTTTCACGTTGACAGGAAGTCATTTGAGCAGTTGGGGGGGATGGCACCAGGCCTATCAAATTGATTATTTCGCCAGCCATTGGATAATCGTATTGCTGTTGCCCTCTATTCTCTTGTGTCATTCTTGGAATACAGAACTATTGGCAGACTATTTGGAATATCAAAAACCATGGTATGGCATCTTTTTGGCCAATGAGAAAAATAAAAATGAATGAAAGGATTTGAAAAATTAGGATTCCCGACATTTTTTGGTGCAATTGATAAACCATTCCATGTTCTCATCCGCTGACCAAGAGTTTTTCTATTTGCTGTAAAGAACATCGTTCAATAAAATTTGGTAAATAAATAAACACAATACAATGACCTGCTCCGTGATTCATTTTTCACGCCATTGTCAGCTGTTTCGGCCAACCCTGGTTAATAGAGCTGGGTAATGGTGATGGAAAATACCAAAAAATCTACCTTTCATCCCTGTAACGCGGAATTATTCCTCCCTCCCCACCGCTTAAGTTTGTTTATTATTTGCGGTGTGTTAAACGGTATATGGGTGCAAACTCGATGCGTTCATAATGGAGAGATTCTTTAGTCTTTGTAGTGTGACCGAAGCTTTCAGAGTTCACCCGCAATGCATGTAGCATGCTCTGTCAAGGAGCTGGGCTTGTCCTTTTTTAGCTGCACTGACCTGCAGGCGTTTTGGGTATTGCCATCCATTTGTAGATTTTCGTTTTAGCACCGATTCTGCACTGACATACCGGAAGCTTTTATTCTTAGTGGCGCGGGTATGGGCGTTCATCAAAATTCTATCGAGAAATCTGGTATTTTTCCTGATATTGCCTTAGCTCATCTTAGTACCGCTCTGAAAAACAGACCCGACGAAAAACGTTAGTTGCCTATTTGCACCCCGCTCACTCGTATAGGTAGCTCACTGTTTTTGGCGATGTTAGTACTAGGTTTACAGAAAATTCACTTATAGGCGCATCCATTTCTCCAAATTGGCTAGTATCGTGGTTTAAAAAATAGATATGATCAAGGAACCGAATGCGAGTAAGGTGTTAAAATAACTGAAAGAGTCCAAGCGGTTATATTATTTGGAAGTCTCTGCTGGCGTCTCTGTTGACCCACAATAGTCAATATTCAATTCTAACTACCCTCGCCTGAGTTGAAAGCCCATCCTTGATTAACTTGTTGATGGCAATGAAGAAATAATTGGGCGCAATCAATTTTTATTTAGTTTTTTCGTAGTTTTTCAATTTTTTTGCCTCCCCTCCCTCTCATATACTTCTAAGAAAGGCCTGCAACTGTTTAATGCAACAGCGATTTTAAGCGGTTGTGTGCAGAGGATCAGTCTATGGGTTACCCGACATGGTGTGACAACACTATTATAGGCACGCACTCTGTGGGTCTAAAGTATTAAGTATTTTTGAGTATGCAAAATATATCAAAAGATAAGAAAGAACTTAGTATTTTTTGGTCTAAATCGACGGTTTTGTATTTTTAAAAAATTCAACCACACTGATCTTCGTAAAAGTATTAGATAACTTGCTTCTAATATTTTTATTTCTGTAATAAGTAAATAAGTTTATTAACCAATCAAGGAAAATGCAAGGACTTGGGCTTCAAAGTTTAAAAAAAAATCCAGCAGTAAGCCAAAATTACATAATTAGGTTTAATTAATTTGTTACATAACCGTAATTTTATACTACAATTTAAAGTTGATTCCACTATACGTGTGTGTTGGAGCGGGAGCTATTGGAGCCGTCTACTATATGGCTCGGCTGGCTACTCGAAACCCAGATGTCACTTGGAACCGCACATCAAATCCCGAGCCATGGCAAGAGTACAAAGACAAACAATATAAGGTAAATTTATTTTTATTAGAGCGGCTATTTCGGTTATCTTAGAAGTTCTCGTGTGCCAAGTGATAAGGGCTAGGAAAATGTATATTTGCTCGCATAAATATATTATAAGTTTATTAGCGTTCAAATAATTTTCTAGTCATACTCCATTTTACCCCTTTTCGATTTTATGGAATATCCTGCGTACAGCTCCAACAAAGTTTTAACGTCAAATGAATGTTGTAAATAAGAATTTAAATTAATTTGTTGTTTTGATCATGCTATTGGCATACCACTTCAAAGTAGATATACGCATGCCAGGTTTCTTAATATGCCCATTTAATTAAAACACCGCTAAAAATGAAAATTTCTAAAGTTTTCGGACAGCTGAAAAAAATTATACTTTTCGTAGAACAGTAAGTTATATAACGAAATTTCTGTGTTTGTATAAATTTTGTAAGGTAACAATTAATCATTTTGAGTTTTCTAGAAAAGCTGAAATGGGCTTAGATTTTAAAGTTATGGTGAACTGTTAGGACTTGGCTCCAAAAGTTATTTACGTTATATATTGTAGCCGAAGATGGACATAGTTGGAGGAATGCGTCGGGTAATTAAATTGTTCGACGAAAAGTTCTGCACTAATTGAAATGTATGGCAGTATAATGATTGTTATAAACTATAACAATAATCATAATAACTATGTATATACCATTATCGGTTCAAATTTGCGAGCCGGAAACTATTATTGACCGCGTCTTGAACCGCTTTGCTGAGTTTAATCATTAGATCATTACGCTCTTCTTCACAGGTGGATACAACCAATACCGCGACCAGAATCAACTCTCAAGATTACCTATTACAAAAAAAAGTTTAATTAAAAATCAAGAATCAATCAAAATAAATCATTTTACAAAACTCAACCAATGTTGAACTAACTCGCATCGAACAGAATGAAAGTATTTTTTCAAATTTGACATTGACAAAAAATAATTTGTAGCTTCTCTACTATTCTAAGGCTTTTAATGTAACCCCTTGGACGGTGCTCCTATAAAAACTATCGCGAATTTTAGAGATAGCTTAAGCCGCTAGGGGCAGCTATACTTGTCTTTTAACTAAGTAGCAATGTGACTGTTCCCAAGATTTTATTTTATTCGCTTATATCTTTTTAATAAATGGTCTGATTTGAACAATTATGGCACCCTGCTGAAATAAACTTGCGCTGCGCTAGAAACTCTAGAATGGCTACATCGATTCGGCTGGTGATCCTGATCAAGAATATATATACTTTATACATGTTACATACGTTCCGACGAATCTAATATACTCTGTCTATCTAATTAATAAAATTAGAAAAGCAAATATTTTGTATAATTTTTAAGGACAACTTTGTATAACGATTTCTGTTTTTAAAGTTAATCAAGGTAGAATCGTGTACACTTTACATTGATACACGTAAGAATCACCCCATTTTAACGGAAAGCGATTTCTGTGGCACCCCCAAATGACTAAATAACAGAAAAAAAAGTGTTCTAATTTACATACCCTCCCCCATCTAATTTTAAAGATTTTTGAACGTGTACTTTTGTATAAAAAATTATATTAATAACAACCTTTTTTCGTTTCAGTTTTACTCGCCTGTGAGGGATTATTCAAAAACTAAGAGTGCTGCACCAAACTTTGATGAATAAATTACGTTTATTGGGTTATTGTAATTTAAATAAAGAAAATGTTTCAAATTGCATAAGAATATTAAAATAACCCACTACATTGCATCAAGAAATGTTTCGATTGGATAACTTTGTTACGTCGTACAGCTTTTTCTAAGCCTATTTTCGTTTAACACGAGCCCTTACTCTGTTAACCAATTGCAAATGTAAAATGCATTGACATCTTTCGCTCTGCAAATCACTCGCACAAAGCTTAAAATATCCTTGGGACAGACATATTTGTAAGTGCTATGAATTAAAACCATATATAAGAAGCGTTGTTTACCTCGAAAACCGATAAAAATGTATATCGTCGGTTGTACTTATGGATCCCCCATTATTTTCATTTTATTAATTTAAAACAAAAAAAATTATTAAAGATAATAACAATACCATTCTGGTACGCATTTATTCAGAATGCGCCTGTAATCTGTACCCGAGAACGCCCCTATATGCACCAAATAAATTTATTATGTACATTAGAACGCGCCAGTACACTTTACACAGGAATGCATATATGTATATGCTTGCAAAAAATAAATATCTTTTAGCTCTTCCGAGGAATACATAAAAAATAATTTTATTTTCAAAATTCCTTTTTTCTTTTAATATTTAAGAACAAAAAATTTTTAATCGGAATCGCTCTTCTGTGCGGGGGTGTACAGGCGCACTTCACCTTTTAAATTTTATTGTTTGGTCGCACAAAAGCTAGCCGAACGTCCTTCACGTAGTCCAGCATGGTGTACCCATCCCTTTTTTGCGATTCTGCGCATACATACAATTTATTTATTTAGGCACAATTACACTTTATACATGAAAGTTTAGGCTGTGCGCAAAGGTCACAAACTTTCAGTAAAAATGACTCACACAACATATAAAAATGTTTTTTTGTCTAATTTTGTGTTCTGATCGAATAGGGAGGAGTAACTTATTTCTTGAGTTAAAACATTTCGAAGTATCCTAGTCCGTATAGCTTTTGTCTATAAAGCCATAGGGAACGGGTTCGGTCCCGAGCAACCCATTTTTTGTCTACTTATTTAATATAAGGTGTGCGGGAGACTTACATGAATTTTTAATCAGCATCACTAGACGAGTCGATCTACCCATGTCCATCTGTCCGTTTCTACGCAAACTAGTCTCTCAGTTTTAAAGCTTTCAACGAACTTTTTTTTCTAGATTTCCTCTACAAAATCTCTTTGTACTATCCAAACTCTCTTTCCTCGTACTCTATAAAGTCTTTCTTCGTACTCTGCAAACACTTTCTAACTGATTTCTCAAAACTCTCTTTTCCCGCAGTGTCGTTAATAGCTAGCTCAGAAGATTTGTGTGTTCGTCGCACCAAACTTAAACATGACCGCCCGGTTAACAGTAACTACAATTTAGAATTCAGGTTATGAGGCGTTTATTCACGGCTTTTGGCTACAAAGTTGAATTGTCTTGGACTGGTGTTTTTTGCGCTGATGCTTCTCGCAGTCCGTCCGACGTAGCTGTCCAAACGACTTGACGTAGCGATCTTGCTCCTTGCTGACCTTTACGGCTGTATCTCCTTGACTTCGACTTTACTTGACGTTGTTCACTTGCTTTTTGATTATTGATGACTGGGCCCGCTTATATAGGCTTCCTGTACCGTAAGTCCTCGGTCTCTGTGAACGGCACCACACTGCGGTCCAAGGTGCGGCGATGTACCGTTGTTGGCACGCCGCTGCGCTCTCGCCTTGCGCTGTCTTGTTCATACTACTGCTGGCGCGGTCTGTTGCTGTCTATGGGTTCTTTCCCTCCAAACTGCCTTGCTCCGTACTCTCCAACTCTATCTGCGTACTCTCCAAACTCTATCTGCGTACTCTCCAAATTCTCTTCGTACTCTCCAAGGGCTCTTTCCTCGTTCTCTCCAACGTCTCTTTCTTCGTACTCTGCATACTCTCTCTACTGATTTCTCAAAACTTTTTTTTCGCGCAGTGTCACAAGTATGCGAATTAGATGCCTATTCTGCAACTGGCTGGCCTTCGTATTTTTATTCGCTTAATATGTGCGGAGTTATTTAACTCCTTACAAGTTATTTGTATGAAATCATTCCAAAAGTCTTGTTTTTGTTGCATGTAGTATAAATGGTCAGATCGAGCCGGATCGGACAACTCTATACTATAGCTCCCATGGAAATGATCAAAAAAATAATTTTTTAAAAGTGTAAAAAAATTATAGCTTCGGTGTTTTTTTACATGTTAACTTCTACCCTTGGCGATATAATTCTTTTAATGCTTCAGAATTTCGAAAGTAATAAAAACAAGGAAGAACGCTATAGTCGAGTACCTCAACTATCAGATACCCGTTACTCAGCTAAAGGGACCAAAGGGAAATGGAGATATGCAAGCAGCAAAGCGAGATTGAAATGCGCCACCTACCCGTGATCTCAATATATGGTTATGTGGGCGGTAGACATATTTACGCGTTAGGGGCGTTAGAGTGGGCGTGGCAATCGGATCAATCGATAGGTATTGACGAGACTAATACACTTCAGTTAAAATTTTTTATCTAGCATAAAAATTGTAGGCGCCACAGGCTTGGGCGGTGTGTGGGCGTTAGAGTAGGCGTGGCATATTCGCGTAACAAACTTGCGCTTCGTACAAGGCTACGAAATCTAAATCTGAAATCCCAATTCTCTATCTTTGATAGTTTCCGAGATATCCGCGCTCATACTTACGATCTTTTGAAGTTTGTGGGCGGTGTGTGGTCGTTAAAGTGGGCGTGGCAAACTTTTTTTTGGGTCAATCGATAGGTATTGACGAGAACAATACATTTCAGTATAAATATGTATTCTAGCATCAAAACTGTAGGAGCCCCAGTTTTGGGCGGTTTGTGGGCGTTAGAGTGGGCGTGGCACCCTGCTGAAACAAACTTGCGCTGCGCAGGAATCTGCATGCCTAATCCCAGTATTGTAGCTCTTATAGTTTCCGAGATCTCAGCGTTCATACGAACAGACGGACATGGCTAGATTGACTCGGCTAGTGATCCTAATCAAGAATATATATACCTTATGGGGTCGGAAACGCTTCCTTCTGCCTGTTACATACTTTCCGACGAATCGCCGCACTTTGGACCCTAGTGTGGTGCCGCGCGCAGAGGGCGAAAGGTCGAACGGAAAAACCGCGGACTTTGGACCATCGTGTGGTGCCGCGCGCAGTTGGCGAAAACCTTAGAGCTCGAGACCCAGATACGGGAGTTATCGCAGCGCAGGGGCATCGCAGCGCAGGAGCATCGCCAAGTAAGGACAACGGCGAGTAGCGCATGACGTCGCAGGAATGCACCCTGAATCCAGCCACGCAACCCTAAGAGAAGGCTAGGTTGGAACGTTCGTCTTTTACTGGGTGTTCGCTTCAGGGACTGCTGACGTAATCCGGACGGTCGCTCGGAGCGTCAAAGGAAACTGAGTGAGCGTTTGGCGGGACCGGTCAGGACAGAGCAAGGGACAGGAGGCTGTAACTGCCAGGGCCGTTGTCTTAAGTGCCCGACGCGAACAAACCTAGAAAACAGTTCGATAAACCTGGCGCCCAAAACGTGATTGTCCCAGCCGTAATGAATAACAAAATGGAAAGATGTTTGATATACCGCGTCAAGAAGGAGGACTTTCCCCATGTCGCACACTAACTGAGTACTACTTGCAAAAATAAAACTATTCAAATCGAGCACAACTCTGTGCCGAACTAGGGCAAACTACGCCGAGAAGCGGGAATTGCATGGGAGGGACGCAAGCCGGGAAAGAAAAGTTTACCCAAAAAACAGTCCCCATAAGAAAGGTTCAGAGAAAAACAAAGTTTTAACCAGGCGAAATACGCCAATATCGCGAAGCAGGTCCGAGAATGGTCTTTCAAATTCGACGGCCTGGAGAAACCACTCGAATTCCTGTAGCAGGTTGAGGGCCCGCGAGCACATACGAAATTTCACGAACAATGCCGGAACTGCTCCAGAGTAAGGCGTTAAAGTGGTTCATATCGAACAATAAGCAGTGGAGAACTTGGAGCGAGTTCATAGAAAGCTTTCACACGTAATTCCTACCAAGTGGTTACAACGCTAAGCTCGCAGACCAGGTGAAGCAAGGTGAAGAGGTGCAGACCCTAATAAGACCACTCGGTCCCTGACAGAGTGATGGTGAAGAAAAACCGGCAAATGGAGATTTTGTGTCGATTTCAGGCAGATCAACGCAAATCCGGTGAAGGACGTATACCTAGACCAACTACAGGAAGCATGGATCCCCATTATTTTCTTTTGCGTTTCCCTCATTTTATTAATTTAAAACAAAAAAAAATTATTAAAGATAATAACAATACCATTCTGGTACGCATTTATTCAGAATGCGCCTGTAAACTGTACCCGAGAACGCCCCTATATGCACCAAATAAATTCATTATGTACATTAGAACGCGCCAGTACACTTTACACAGGAATGCATATATGTATATGCTTGCAAAAAATAAATATCTTTTAGCTCTTCCGAGGAATACATAAAAAATAATTTTGTTTTCATTATTCTTTTTTCTTTTAATATTTAAGAACAAATAATTTTTAATCGGAATCGCTCTTCTGTGCGGGGGTGTACAGGCGCACTTCACCTTTTAAATTTTATTGTTTGGTCGCACAAAAGCTAGCCGAACGTCCTTCACGTAGTCCAGCATGGTGTACCCATCCCTTTTTTGCGATTCTGCGTATACATACAATTTATTTATTTAGGCACAATTACACTTTATACATGAAAGTTTAGGCTGTGCGCAAAGGTCACAAACTTTCAGTAAAAATGACTCACACAACATATAAAAATGTTTTTTTGTCTAATTTTGTGTTCTGATCGAATAGGGAGGAGTAACTTATTTCTTGAGTTAAAACATTTCGAAGTATCCGGGAACGGGTTCGGTCCCGAGCAACCCATTTTTTGTCTACTTATTTAATATAAGGTGTGCGGGAGACTTACATGAATTTTTAATCAGCATCACTAGACGAGTCGATCTACCCATGTCCATCTGTCCGTTTCTACGCAAACTAGTCTCTCAGTTTTAAAGCTTTCAACGAACTTTTTTTTCTAGAT